AGATCTGCCTGTTCTGCTCCCCACTCTGGTGAATCCTCTCACCCTCCCGCACCTCTGGCCTGTACCCCAGCTCTTGTATAAAAATAAATAAATCTTTAAAAAAAAAAAGCAACAATGCCATATAAAAGTAAACATTAAAAAAAAGAAAAGGAAAAGAAATACCCAGCAAGTGTCAGAACGCATGGCCATTTCCACAGCTTACAACACTGAGTTTTACCCAGAGGCCATTCCGTGGTGGGATGGCCGGAATCCTGGAGCAAGTTCTGAAGCCCCATAGGCCTCCCTTCAGAGAGCAAGCAGGCCCCAAGGTCACCAAACACAAAGACTATCATCGCCGAGGCCACTGGTGCACTCAGATTAGCACGAGAATCAGAAAGAGGGCAGCCAGGGGGAAGAGCTCTCTACAGAATAGGATGGCAGAGACAGGTGCCCATGATATTTATGCATGTGACCACCCCTCTGCCTCCGAAGAGCATCTTCGGGTAAAATGGAGAGCAATGGTTTCTCCTGCTGACCCAACCCAGCCTCCCCTGGCTCGAGGTGGGAGAGACAAATGGGGTTAAGCAGCAGTTTGGATTCGGTGGTAGCTGAGCCAAATAAAGGCAAAAGGCTCCTGATGCTTTCTCTTCTTATTGTTCAAGTTTACAATTCTGATAAATTACCCTGCGCCTCTAAGGACTTTGCTGCTCTTAGAGTTTGTCCTAGATAAGAGGGAGCGTTCAACCCACTTTGTGCTACAGCAGCCTCTGTATAGAACATGCTGGCTTTATATTTCTAGAACGCGTCAAGATAGCCATCCTACCCAGGAGCTCTGCACACCAGCTGCCCTCCGCTCCGAGGCAGCTCCTGCATTTGAGGTGCAATTTGAATGTGCATTTGGGGGATGACACTCATTTTTGCACATACAGCCCCTCGGACACCCTTCCCTTGTCGTTACCGTGAGGAGCACTGAGGTTCGCCGCCTTGATCCTTGTCTTTCATCATCCCATGAGACCAAACCTATTTCAGATGCAATAAACACAGTCTCCCTCAGCCCCGGGCCGAGCCGCCCCACTGCCTCTTCCCTCGTATTCACACCACGTCGTGTCCTGAGCTACACTGTGTCCTCAGACACAGTGACGCGAAACGTGGCTCAGCCTCCCAGCACGTGACATGAAACGTGGGTTTTGTACAAGTGTAGGGTAAGGAAAAATGTCAGGCTTTTCTGCCCTCCCGCCATCAGGATAGATGACGGGACCCTGCGGTCCTGAATGCATGCCTGATGGCGGCACCTGAGTGGGATGTGGGCATGGGTAGATGGGATTCACCTGGGCTGAGACTGGGCTTTTAAGGGCGGCATCACAGGGACGCCAGTAGCAGCAGAAGCAGAAAGAGAAGCCAAGAAGCAGCAGAACGAACAGAAGAGCAGAGAAGCAGAGAGAACGCCAGAGAGCCCAGATAGAGTGAGGATTTGCTGGGGGCTGGGAGGCCTGCCAGCCTCCCGGCCCCCCAGCACCCCTGCCTGCCATATGCCTGGTGAACCCCAATAAAAGACCTGCAAAAAACCTCTGAGAACTCTGACTCCTCCTTTACCCTGTCTGCATGGGATTCTAGAAAACCTGCTCTGTGTCCATTCCTGACCCTTACAACAAGTCTATCAGAATTCAGTTGCACATCTTGGGGGGAGGGCAGGGGGCGGGAAGCCAGGCCAATTGAGAACCAATTTCCTGGGTCTTGGAAAGGAGCCATCCAGCGAGCACTGGAAAATGACTTTGTCATTTCTGCCCTGACGGCTGTAGTCTTGGCTCTGGTCCTGGGCTCTGCGCTCTGTCACTTGCCATTTCAGACTCAACTCCAGAAAGTCATGATTCATTTGAACAATGACTTATTTTAGTTAGCAAGGCTTTACTTGGAGCTTCCTCCTCCAGTGCCCAATCGGGGACGTGAAGTCTACACGTGTGCCGTGTAATGGCTTTTTAACGCCTTAGGCTTTGATTTCGAAAGCCAGAGCTGATCTTCGCCCCAACAGAACAGCAACGTGCTGTTGTCTCTCCCTCCACGTGATGTTTCAACTCAGGAGTACATGAGGGGGGAAATGAAAATGGTAGTTCCTGTTCAAAATTCAACAGAAAAGGCATCGTTGCAAAGTCAACTTCAAACCAAAATAATGTAATGACTGTCTGATATTTAAAATGTCAGCTATCTGCCAGCAGAGTTTTACTGTCTGGAAAAGAAAGTGTAGGTTTTCTTCAAACGAGATCAATTTCGACTGGCTGTCCTAACTTTCGTGTCCTTGGGAAGAGACCCAGAGTCTGAGTAGGAACTGGCCACCAACTGTGCCTGTCTCTTTGGACGAGGTGAAAACACCCATGGGACCTTCCGTCTGGGGCTTTTGGTTTTGCTTTCAGCAATGGGGGGTTTATGTTTATGCATTTGCGAAATGGCTAAGCACTCAGCTGGCAGCTTCTGTGCGCCAGCCACGGGGCTGATTCTCGCGGAACCACCAAAAGGGAGACGCCATTACTTGGGCATGAGAAAACCCGACACGGAGAGAAGAACTAACACTAACCCCGGGTCACCAAACAACCGCAGGAAAGTGCCAGGCTGGGTCCCAGCAGGCGGGCTCCAGAGGCTTCAACATGACCCTTTCATGCCAGAATGAGGTCCTGCCACTTCTCCCCTCAAGGTCAACTTCCCAAGACAAAATGATGGGTTTCCATGAGGGGGGACAGAAGAGACTGGGGTGGGGACCTGAATAAAGCTGCATAAAGTTGGATTTGCTGAAGATTACTCAAGGAAGCGAGGAGGAAAAGACCCAGGTGCACACACTGAAGTTTTATTGGCAGTTTCCCACTTCCGGCTGTAATTCCTGGACGCCCGAGGATGAGTACCAACAGCCTCCTAGGCTTGGCTTCACTGGCCAAGCTTTCTTTCACCTCTTCGCTGCTGCTAAAGGCTTGAGGTGTAATGAATGGTCGAGAAAGGATAAACATGACTTAACACCCTTCCTGATAAAGAGCCTTCACCCTGAACTTCGACAATACTGGATGTCACATCGCAATAAAGCTGTCAATATCGCCATAAAAATGGATGAATAAAAAATTCACCAACTCGTCCCACCTCACCTCGGCCTACGGCCAGCAGAGAACCTTCGCCCTGACTGGGGCTGCCTGGGATGGGCCCACAGCTAATAGTGGACACCTGCCCTGATGCTGGGCCCACAGATATCAGGTGGGCTTAACCCAGAGGGATTTTTCTGCCTTTCTGTTGGCTGGAGATAAAGGACTGATGGATCCGCCACCGTGTGAGCAGACCCCCTGCCCCAGTGATGTGCAGTGTGTGGAAGAAAGTTCGCCCCCGCCCAGAGCTGCTGGGAGCCTGACACGGCACCATAACAGCTTGTCCACATTTCCTTCTCTGAGGACGGTGAGTCTGACTCAGCCCCCGTGGCCTCACGCCTCACCTCAGAAGTTTCAGAATCATTCCAAGGATTTCTATTACATTCCAGAACCGAAAGGGAAAGGGAAGACCAACCAGTTCTTTCTTTCCTTTCCTTTCCCTGTCCCTTCCTCTGGGGTGCTCTGTTCTCTGAAGATGGGGGGAGCAGCAATAATTATTTGCTTGAAGGCTGTATCCAGACTCTCTGGCACAAGACACGATTTATAATCTAGGAGGATAACGGCCTGGCCGCCCTGCAGACATGCGCAGACGTCCCCTGGGGGGAGACAGGCATTTAGGGGACCCCTTCAAAGCTGCGCTTGTCTTACGTCATGCCCAGTCGTTCCCAACTGTCCAGGGTGTTTTCCTGAGTCAGGGGCCTCCAAAATGGAAATACCCCAACTAGCCACAACTGTCAGCGAGAACGAGGGACAAAAATCAATAGGAACTGGCACAGGTGGCGAGCGTGGGGGACATGGAGGAAGGGGGTGTCTGGGGGGCAGCCTCGGCGCTGAGGGTCTGCAAACTCACACCCGGATGGTCCCGTGGCACTTCCACAGCCCTTCAAGTGTGGGTCACCTGTAGACATTGCTTTCCTCATTCCTCTGTAAATACGACAAAGTATGAAAACCTTTGCAGGATTTTTATGGTTGGCTGCAAAGCTGTGTTGAGATGATCCGACTCTGCAGGAATAGGGACATGTCGGGCTGACCCGTAGGGGGATTTTGAAAAGCTCCTTGTCTGTCGGATGTTGCGCCCACTATTTCAGAATATTAAATATGAAATAATTCAGAATATTATACTGAGGTCGGATTTCTTCAGTACCAATACACCATCTAAATTTTCATTGTCAAGTAGATGATTTGCATAAGGAACATGTTTCCTCACCCACGTCCCCCTCCCTCCCCCAAAGTGGTTCTAATAACAAAGAGCAAGAAGTTTGACAGCGCTGATTATGTGTCCTGCTTTCATATGTAGCTTTGTATGTGAATAGCTATTGGTCATCAACTTACTTAGAGGTCAAAAATACTTTCTTGGGGCTTTCCCTGTTGGCGCAAGGGCTTAAGACACAACCTATGAAGCTGTCCGCAGCCTCTGCAGCGCGAGCTCCATCCCCCGGCCAGCCAGGGAGCTACCCACGTGGCACAGCAGACCTCTCCTGCCTCGCCCGCTGCTCCCCTCCGCAGTGTATTTCAGTCAGTCTGCCTGTTCTGTTCCCCACTCTGTCTCTGGTGAATCCTCTCACCCCCCACACCTCTGGCTGTACCCCAGCTCTTGTATGCATAAATAAATAAATCTTTAAAAAATACTTTCTTTGCATTATGTTCTATAAGATAGACTCACACAAGCACATTCTTTTCATAATCTTCTATGAAATAGACTCACCAGCGTTGCTATCATTTCTAAATTGATACGCCCCATCCATCAAAGTCCCCCTGGTGAAAGGGGGCATTGAGCCCAGCAGAAGCCTCCCGAGTTATGGCTCAAGGGGCCCCGGCCTTTGGCTCCCTCTTTTTCCCTCCGCCCAGAAAAGCTGTGACCCTCCTCGCCTTTCATACTCAGACACCTTTCGTTTTTGGTAGAGTTGTGAAGAGGAAGAACCTGAAGCCGAGGAACCAAGATCACCTACCAAGATTTCTGGGGCTAAGAGTGATTCCAGACTTCCAGCCATTGAACAAACATCAGTCAAGCAGAAACATAAAAGCACCATGACCCCCAGGAAACCAGAGAAAGCAGGCCCCAGCAAACCCTCCACAGGTGAGTGGCGGGTTTAGTGAAAGTCACCAGATCTCGCGCCTGTGAACTAAAGGTAAGGGCAGGCATCACAGGGGGCGTGTTGGTTCCACCTGGAGATTCCCCAGCGCCTGACTCAGGTTTCCGAGGGGCTGACGACCTTAGGCAAGTGGCAAAATTCTTTCCAGGGGAGACTGGCATTTAGGGAGGTGCAAATCACACAGAGTAGCCATCTCCACTGCACACGTTTTCTGCCAAATCGCCCAGAATTGCCGCCTTTTCATCTTCTTCATCCTTCTGGGAGGATAAAGGCATTTGGCCCCAGGTATCAAGTTTTATGACTTAAGCGAGAGCATGAAGAGAAGCTTTCAAAAGCATCTGAATGGCATAATTTATAGCCAAAGAAAGGGAGTAATAAAGTCTTCCAGTTCTGGGGTTGTCCTTTCTGGGAGAAAAGGGGCTTGATAAATCCTCCCTTTTGTGCAATTTGGTAAATAATTCACTCTTGAGCTGCCTTTGAAGCAAAGACCAGCCCTGCGCTCGAGGCAGGAATGATTTAATAGTATCCAGAAAGGGGAGAACTCCAACTGGAAGTTTTGCGTCCCCTGGGCTTCTCCCTGTCGAAGCCAACATCTGTCGTAGCAAACCCCGGGGGGGCCCACGTCGGAGCTGGGATAACCAGGCAGAAAGGTGAGCCTTCTGTTTGCGCTGGAATGGAAATGTTCCAAATTAACCGCCCAAGAATTCTCCAATAGCGAGAGCAATTCATTTAAATCCAAATCACAACGACTTTCTAATCCTAACTAGCTCCTGCCGAGCGCGGGCCCATCCAGCGAAGTCCTAATGCACGTTTAGAATATGGCAGCTTTCACTCAGCTTAACCACCCACATTTTATTGCTCTAATGAGGTAAAAAAACAAATTGACTGCTGAAATGACGTCCTTTCAGGCAAAGCCCCAACTCTTTGCCCTGATTGAGCCAGAGGAAAGCATCTCCACACCTGACAGTATTTCATCTTGAAGATTTTTACTTGGAACTGGGTTTTTTTTTATTGGGTGGTGAAGAATGAAATAGGGCTGATAAGATCATCCCCCAAATATTTCAAAATACGTGTTGTAATTTATTAAATGGAGGGTGTTTTCAATAGGAAAAGAAAATTGCATTTGCGTTTCAAGAATGCAACCCCATCCACTCGTTATAATTTTTAGCCTTCTAAAAATGCTTGCTAAAGCGGGGTGGCTGCCCACGCCGTGTGCTTTGTCGTCTGTGGAGAAAAATCTTTCCCCTGAGCCATTCATGCCCACTTGGTGATTTTTAGCTTGTCTGATTAATACAGATGTTTTCCAAACTGAGCCAACCCCATATGGAACTTACAACATTGACAACAAGGGAGGACTCGTTCCCTTTACATTCCCTAAAACATCACATCTGAAGAATTACTAGACTGGAAAACACCAATGTGTAGGCGAGAGAGCCAAGTTGGCAGAAAGAGATCCGTGTCATCAAAGGAGGGATGTTACTTGCAGCAAGTCTTTCAAAAGCGCCAGCTCCGTTGTCTGATGGCCTGGCTGTCGTGTCAGCTGCCGTGGAAGCCACTCAGGTGTGCAGCTGACTGGGTGGGTCACCAGGTTGGCACCAGCCAAGCCCGAGTGTGTGAAGACCCACTCATTCCCATAGGCAGACACCCCACCCTCAGGGGCCCATGATCAGCAAAAGGAAACCCCAGCCCAGAGACACAGCAAGAATTCCAGCTGAGCCTATTTGGGAAGTCAGGTTGAAGGGTGTGGACAACTCAGAAATCCAGATAAATACCCTACTGGTACAGAAAAAGGGGATGCGGGGCCTCTGTTTTCTGGTCACGCTGATCCATTTCACCAGGTAAATTCAGTTTCCTACTTCTCTTCACCCCTGTAGAGAAATATCTTCCTAAAGGACTGGGGGTTGGGGGGTGGACATCAAAAGCTGGCAGTGAGTCACCAAAGCTTTCCCCCACATCAGACCTGAGATTCTGTGCAAAACAGAAGCATCAGACACAGAGAAATCTTTGCAGCATCTGCCCAGCAGACTGACCTCCCAGCGGCATCACGCCATGCTTTCTTAAATAAAGTCATGTAACTTGGGGGTGGGGCGGTGGTTTCACATACGTGCCAATCCACTAAGGGTTTCCCCTGACATGTGAACTGCCACCAAGTACCCCTAAAAGTGGCTCCCTACAACACAGGGACCATCATGCCCTCCACATATAGACGAGTGACTGAGAGGGTGTCCTCTGGTCGTTGTTCTCCCCCGCGCACTTTATACTAAGAGCATATAGTCCCTGGAACTGTCTCAACGATTGGGCTGGTGATTCTCCTGGTTCCTCTCTCCCTCCTGTGGGGGTACAGATTACAAGCAGGTGCTCTGGAGTCCAAACGCTTAAGTGGTCATCTGGGTCCCTCTTTTATTTGTTGTGTACTTTGGGCAGGTAACTTCTCTGTGCCTCAGTTTCCTCATCTGTAAAATGAGGGAGAGGAGGGTCCAAATAGATCTACTGTTGGGATTTCTACAAAAATTCAGGCTAAGATACATGCTCAGACCTTCTAACAGCGTCTGACACTGTGAGCCCTGGACACGCTACAGCATTATGGTACCTGGTGCGTGAGAGCTGTATTTATTTAGTATTTAGGGGGAGCAGACTAGAAAATTTGGTCTTAATGTTGTCCCTTCTCCCCAGTCTTGTTTTCCTTTACTGAAAATCGGAAACAAATTTTCTTAATCCTAACATAAATGCAGGCCCAGACACTTTGACTGCACCCTGAATTTCCAAAACAAAACACCAAATTGGAAAAAAAAAGATGAATAATCAGAAGGCGTTCACCCAGCCAGAGGTTTGCCTTATCTCCAAAAAGACATGGAAAATTTGGGTAGTGAGTCAAGACGCAGCTGGGACTGGTGTGCAGTCAAAATCCTCAGAAATCCTGTTTCATGATCACAGCGAATGCTGGTGTGGGGTGAGAAATAAGCCACGCACATGAAGTTACGCATTCATGTGCAGATCGGCAAGAAGCAGAGCAGGGAGCAGGCACACAAAGGCGGGGGGTAAAGTGGTCTCCAACTCCTGCCTGTTCCCAAGACCCCTCCCAGCCCCAGCCTGGGTCAGAAAGGAGTCACCTCTCCTTTCCAACACAAGTGGAGGCCACCAAAGGCCCTCATGCCGTGAGGCTCTGGCTGCTGGACATCCCTGCCAGGGGCATGGGAAATGAGGGTGCCCTCTGCTGCCTTCTCCCCTCACCTAGAGCTCAGGCAGCGTCCCCCAGTTCTGTGCCAGGAAAATGCCTCTGGATGGAGTCCTGTGAGCCTGCTTCCAATATCTTGCTCTTTAAAACAAAGCCACATTTTCTGAAATTATCCTCACTTATTAGCAGGTTCAACCTAAGCCATTAGCAGACACTGACTTAGAGAAAAAGCAAAGTCCATTCAGCCTAATAGCAGCTTATTGTCAAGACGTGTTCTTGTAAAACTAGGAAAAAGCAGCAAACCCAGATTTATAAAGATAAATATCTAAAATAACTGTGGCCTGTTTTGAACTGGGAAATAGTTATATGAATAGCAGCCTAGAAGAGACATTTGAGGGCAAATCCCAATTTTTCATAACTCGCCTTGCAAAGAAATTCTGTTGAAGATGTTCTCAGAAAGGCCGAGATGAGGGGGTCCCCAGGCCAGCTGGCCCAACAGCTTTCCGAGCTATCTGCCCAAGGCTGAAGTCAACCCACCCAGGCGAATGCACCCACTTTTATGTAAAAAAATCATAATTCTCAATTTATAGTAATGGTTACAGACAGACAGGCTCGGAGGTGTCCCAGGGCCCAGAATTTGAAGTCCAAGCTCAGAATCCTGAGCTACCACTTCATAACCCCGTAAATGTGAACCAGCAACTTCTGCAAGCTCAGTTTCCTCCGCAGTAAAAGGGAATTATTTCCTACCCCACCAGATTGACAGGAGGATCAAGATCCCGGGTGTAGACTAGGCCTTAGGTAAATGTTAGTACCTCCTTCCTTCCCTGCTTAAGAAGCCTGCTCCCAGCACTGCCGGCTGCTCCTGCGTCAGCATCCTAACCACAGAACTGCTCGGCCAGACGTTTACTTTGAAATGTGCGAGGTCTGACTTGATTATAAAACATTTACATGTACTTGACTATCAGTTAGTCATCCCAGGACCCATGACATGAGCAAACACCGTCGATGCCCCCATTGTCCCAGGGGGGTGTGCTCCTGGGGTGCCCTGGCTCCTCATCCATTGCTCCCTCATTCAGCACCCCCACATTCACTTACTGCATGCTCACAGCCAGGCACCACGCAGGGGCCCTGCCCTCCAGGGGCACACAGCCTGGGGCAAGATGAGGGCAGGCCACCGACAGGCCCCCAGCGAGGAGTGTCTTAAGAGCTTATGGGCAAAAGTCCCAAAGGATAGGAGGAAGCAAGATCGATTCGCCCAGCAGTTGGTACTGAGTGTGCCCGGCATGGAGGAGGAGAGAGGAATTGTGGGGGAGAGACAGACAGAGACATCAAGGTGATCAAAATAGTCCCAGGCCTTGTGCCGCAATGGCGTCTGCAGTCTAGGAGTAGAGGTGTCACCTGCAAACTGATCAGAGATTCAGCTGCAGACCTGCTGAATTGGAGCCTGCGTTTACCAGTTGAATATCTCTGGGGTGCTTGTTGGTACATTTGAGTTTGAGAAGCTCTGGTTTCGGGTCAGGCTACAGGTAGGGACGTGTGCAGTGTCAAGTGCACCCTCTGCAGGTAGGCGAGAACTGGGCTCCCAGGGGCCTCTGTCAGCGCTGGGGCTAAAGAACATCCGTTCCTCCCAGGGGTCCAGGCAGGAAGTGATGCAAACAGATTGGCACTTAAAGAAGCTGATTCTGGCTGCAAAGGGGCTGGCAGGGAGGGGGAGGGCAGCCAGATATAGCTGAGAGATAGCAGGCGGTGGCTACACTGGACACCGAGAAAAGTGAGGAGGACTTGGTCCAGAGCTGAAGCAGAGGGGCC